AATATATTTAAAATCCTTAAATTTCCTATAAATTTGGTGTAAATAGCGCCCTCTTACGCTAAGGAGCTGAATTTTATTGACAAACCGAAGGAAAACTACTGTATTAAGTTGTTCCCGCGTGGAAACCGCGAATCCAGAAAAAGATCTCATGCGACTTATGCTCTCCTAATACAAATGTTTAAATTTATGAAAATTTTCTGTTTCGCGACATATACGAGGTCCGATCAAAAAATAATTGACCAATTGAAAATTAAAAATTTTGTTCAATTATTTTTTAATCGGACCTCCTATATGTCGCGAAACTAAAAATTTTCATAAATTTGAAGATTTGTATTAGGAGAGCATAAGTCGCATGAGATCTTTTGACCCATTAAAACTTGAAAATTAAAATTTTGGTTGTTCAACTATTTTTTAATCGGACCTCGTACATGTCGCGAACCTGAAAATTTTCAAAAATTTGAACGTTTGTATTAGGAGAGCATAAGTCGTATGAGATCTTTTTCTGGATTCGCGGTTTTAGCGCGGGATCGACTTTAATTTAGCTCCTAGCGGTATGATGGCGCTAGTAATACCAAAATGAATATAATTTCTTTGCTTTTTAATGATATTAGAGGTCTTTAAGGGTTTATTTTTGTCTACGTTTAAGGACTTTCAAGAAAACATACATGAAATTAAAAACACATAATTTATTTACCTATTTATTAATTTCAACACCAAAACAATGATAATACAATGATAATTCATTTATTATTTAGACACATAATTTACATTTATTACAATGAACATATTTATTACAAATAACAGCATATTACATAACATTCACAAAATATCCAACAAATAATGCTTCATTCTAATTATTACATTTACTAGTTATTTACAAGCTGTTGAATTACCATTGAAATACTACATTTGGGACAAAAATGCCCTCTAACTCTCTGTGGCCTCCACATCTCCCCTTATAGCCACCCTATCCGCCCAAATCAATATTAATTATGAACGTGATAACAACTATTTAATTTGGTTTTAACATTTATGCCAAAAAATCAATTTAGAAAAGTTTTACCTATCAGTTTAAGCTACAATTACATGTTTTTAGTAATTCAACAGTTTATACAATAAAAGACCAAATACCTGAAAGAGAGAGACAAGAAAATAAATGAAATTTGCAAGAAAATACAATAAATATTAATTATGAACGTGATAACAACTATTTAATTTGGTTTTAACATTTATGCCAAAAAATCAATTTAGAAAAGTTTTACCTATCAGTTCAAGCTACAATTACATGTTTTTAGTAATTCAACAGTTTATACAATAAAAGACCAAATACCTGAAAGAGAGAGACAAGAAAATAAATGAAATTTGCAAGAAAATACAATAAAAAGTAAAAAAAAAACGATGTCTTCCTTCTTCTTAGGGAATACCTCATTATCTGAAAGCAAACAGCGCAAATTAACAGGACTAACGGCAAATACTAATAGCTTTGGTAGAGAAGATCGGACAGATTTCGCCAAGGCAAGCTGGGCAGTCGCCTATTGCTCCTATTCCAGATAACCCACTGTACCCCGTCTGAAAGGAAGTAACGCTAGAGTAGACTCGCGAAAAGTGTATAAGACACTTTTAAGATCAACTAAATAGCTAAGCCCAAGGGAAGTCGTTCGGGGAGGCCCTCCCTAATTCCACAAGGGTGAGAAGA